AAAAGTTTCTCAGCGGATTTGGGCTGTACTCAGCAAGAGCAGTACATCCCCCAATTCAGATTTGATAATAATTAGTGGATGGCTGTTTTCTGACTGGTCGGCAGACCGCCAACCGGTCCGCCCTACTGGTCGGCTGCCATACGGTCGGTGGTCGGCAGGTATGCAACCCTGGTGTACACATCAATAATAGGAAGGGCATTGCTAAATAACTTCATCCATATCCTCCATGGCGTGGTATTCAGCCTCAGCTTGACTACTTCCCAAACAGTTTTCCAAGCATCTAAAGAGAAAAGCAGCAGCATACCTATGGTCAGGAGACGCCTCTAGAACACACTTCATCGCGAAAGTACCGTGGAAATATATATATATTTGACCAAATATCCTAGAGAGCGATTAGTTTGAGAATCCATTTATCTCGGATTGTTTGCCGGATGATCTTATACAGAGCTCCATGATTTACGGCTCCAAGGCCTTCGGCCTCCAGGGATCCTTCAATATACCATTGCGCGGAGATCATGTGACTCTTGTCACTTAAGCTAAAAACCAAAATGAAACTTCCATTTTGTGGAGCGGGTTTTTGCAAAAAGAAGTTAAAGACATATGTCAAATCAAGTCATTAGAGGTCAAAAACGTAGATTGAACGTAGCTAAATAAAAACTTGTTGAAACCACCCAAAAAAAAGCAGACACATATGCTACAAATGTGTGCTCCATTATTTGACAATCTGAGTGGTCTTATCAAGTGGCCTCTTTTAGGGCCCCTCATCGTTTTACTTATTCCTAACTCGAAAATACGGTTGATAAGAGGTATTCGGGCCAGGGTCTTTGCTATAGCAGGCAAAGACCTAAAAGAACCACGCAATGGCTGGTAACCAGGTTCCGAAATCCAGACTCCCAGCTCGCTCTTTCGAGCCACATTCCTTCGTAGAGGCTCGCTTGAGCAGAAAGGTCTGGCCAGAGTGGTTGCAGACACTCGAAGAGACTCCGCCAGAGTCGTAACTGTATGATATCGGGCAACTTCCTGATTGGAGGGACTGACATCTAGGAGAGCCAGCAAAACAAGGGGACCTAGGTGTAATAGACCCAATTATAGAATACAAGGCACTGCAAACTAAATGGGTGACAAGCGCGCTTCTCAAGTATGGGCAAAACATATACAAATATGTTTAATAAACCCAATTAAAAGAACCACGCAATGGCACTGTAATCCCCAATACAAGCGCGCTTCTCAATTATAGAATACAAGGCACTGTAATAGACCCAATTAAGATAGGGTTCACGATCAGGGGGAAAAGTTCAAAAACAGATGACCCACAGCCAGTTAGAGTACAAAAATGGGCAAAACATATACAAATATGTTTAATAAACCCACAAATTATGGCATCCATACAACGGGAGTACTACAGCAGAACTAGACCACAGAAGGGCGAAGTACACGACTTTTTCAACTGTGCTCTGGACGTCAAGTTGCACCGACTAAGCAATGAACTACGATGCACCACAGTTGTGGTAAATCCTGTTTACCACAAAAACATTAGATTTTGCTCTTGTTACTGAATGTGAGAGAGTTCTTGGCAGTCATGGAGGACTGCAGAGCCGAGAAACAACCTATTGCCATCGTTGTAGACTCGTTCCAAGAGAAGAAACAACAAGAATGGAAGGCTGCAGTAATTGTGGTCAGATACGTTTAGGAAAGTGTTAGTGCGAGTACGCCCAAAGTTAAGAGCGCTTCAATGGTTGATGGTTTACTGGGCAATCCCCGTGAATGGGCCCCGCTACTCACCAAATGCACAAAAGACAAAAACTATAGTGATGTATCTTTCCATGTTCTAGTGGAAGATTTATTCTTCTTTTTTTCATTCTACAAAAGGTTTTGCAGGCTGAGGTATAGGCAGGCCCTACCCTGACGGCCAGTGCTATAATCACACGCCCACGACACACCCAGGGCAGAGCGGGGCATTCCAAGGCGGGAGAACCCCAAAGCTCCCCAGTTACTCAGCGATCCTCTCCACTTGTTGTAAGCGCAGCCTGCAGGACGCTGAATGGGCAAGACCCCCAATACAACATCTACACAGCCTTGCTACTGTCCCCCCGTGGGGTACCCAGCCGGGGATGCAAATGGAGCGAGGCTTAATGACTGGTTATATAAAAGGAGAGTTCCCCCCAGCAAATCCAAGAGCGGCGGGCGGGGAAGGGGGGCTGTACAAGACTCTAGCTCTCCATCTAAAACTTTGGTCATAAGCAATCGCGGCAAGCCCCCCGTTTGGCAGCAGCGTCCGGTTTTCATCCTCGTGGACCTTGTATCCCTCTCCACTAGCAACTCACCAGTTGGTCCTTCGTAACAACATCTAAGAGTATAAACACAAATAAACACAGTAGGTAACATCCTTTAGGGATGGCCGTGAGTTGAAAAATTGCAAGTAGATGACATATACGAGACTCGCACGAGAAAGGGATATAGTGTTGATGTACACTGACCTGAAGACGGCCTGCGGTGTCAATAATTATAGCATCCACTCCCCTTTTCTTGCCTTCCTCAAACCCCTTCCGAGCAATGTCCACAGGATTCGATTTCGTTCCCATTTCAAACACGGGGATGTCCACCTGAAAGTGGAATCAGGCAAGCAGCAAGTTTCAAACTGTGTTACTTCAATCACCCTTTAACAGAGTTCGCAACTGGGATTTTTAGAAATACTTGTACCTGACCTAACCACACCCTCTTTGAAAACTAACCACCCATGTACACCTAGCCTGCCAGACCTTTACCCATCTCCACCTACTAAAAAAAAAAAAACTATACCCAGACGTACCCTGCCTGAACCTCTTTGGCATGTAACTGACCATACCTACCCATGAATATTTTTTTTCAAAACCACCCATGGCCACCTGAACCCAAACGGCTTGTTAACCACCCATACCCTACCCTACCCAAGTTTTCTTCACCTGTACCCACCCGTACCTACCCATAAGTGTATGCACCCACCCGTAACCACCTGTGCTCGTCGTCCACCCTCCCCTAACCGCCCATAACCGCCCCTAACCGCCCCTAACCGCCCCTAACTGTCCTTAACTGCCCCTAACTGCCCCTAACTGTCCCTAACCGCCCCTAACTGTCCCTAACCGGCCCTAACCTTTTTTTTTTTTTTTTTACTGCCCCTAACCGCCCCTAATTGTCCTTAACCGCCCCCAACTATTCCCAACCCCCAAGATGTCACAGGATTGCCGTGGTAATTTTTATTATTATTAATATTATTATTATTATTTTTTTTTTTTCGAGATGTGGCAGCTGCTGCAGCTTTTGCCCCAAAAGCAACATTTGTTACATATCGTCACTATGATGCTGCTATGGATGCATTTGGTGCTACACCGCCCATGCAACCTGTATAGCATCTGTAAATACAAGAGCCCTCAGTCTGTCACACACACATACATGCTCACACACACACACACACACACACACGCACACACACACACACACATAAATATTACATACACAGGGTTACACACATATGAAAATAGTCTGAAAATTTGAAAAACAAAAAATTAAAAAATGAAGAGATATAAAATCCACCCTTGCGAGAAAAAACGTTTGCGTCATGAGAAAGCGAGAAATTTGGAATATGAGAAAAGTGTCACGCTTGAGCAAAAATACAAAGCCTCCAAAACTACAAGACTCACATCGGGTATAGCACGGTTTCCCGATCGGAACCTCTACCCGCCCGTACCCACCCCCTTTTTTTTTTGCCCACCCGTACCTGCCCATACCCGTCTATTTTTTTTTCTGGCCGCTCATACCCGTTTTTTTTTTTTTTTGTACCCCTACCTCTACCTGCCCATACCCACCCATGATCTCCAAAAGGGGCAACTGTGCCCGCCCTAACAACCACCAGCTTTTGTTTGTGCCTGCCCATACCCACCTCCCTCTTCCGAAGGGGTACCCATACCCACCCGTAACCTGGCGGTTACAGTCGGGTACGGCCGGGTACGGGTAACGGTTACCCGTTTGCACTCTCTGCCCTTTAAGGGTGAAGGGTGTGCTTGGAAGGGAAAAACCGCCATCATACCAACGAGTTTCCAGGAGAGATGGTTAACGGGGGCCCAAATATTCGTCATTTTCGTTGGCAATTGCGGTGCAAATTTCACCAAAAAAAATAAAAACAAACGATATGAGACCATAGTGCAAACATCAAAAAGGAAACAGGCCAAAAAAAACGAAAAAAAAAACAACACCCTTGGTTAACCACATGTGGTTTCCAGTTATGTATCACACAAAAAAACAGAAAAAAAACAAAAAAACCAGCACAATATGACACAAACATATATATCACACAAAAAGAAAAACAAGAAAAAAAGCAAAAAACCAGCACAATATGATAGTTTCAGTGCAATTCGGTGCAAAATTCGTCGAGAATAACACCCCTGGTTAACCACATGTGGTTTCCAGATGCGCCCAAGTTATGTATTTTGGAAGCATAAACAGTATATTGAAATACAGTAGCACTGATGGACTCAGATCAGACCAAGTTTCTCAATCTTTACTGCATGCCCATCATCATGGATAAGATGCCATACCAATACCAAGCACACATGAACATCTGACGAAACACTGTCACAGCCCCTCGTTTATTGTCGTCTATAATGTGTATTAATGTCACATATGTCGACAAGGAAGAGTGCAAGGTTGCTGCGAACCCGGCCATTCCGTTTCCCACCGAGTCTGAACGGCATTGCTCTGTCACATGAGTGTGTGTTGCTGTCTGTGTGTGTGTGTGTGTGTGTGTGTGTGTGTGTGTGTGTGTGTGTGTGTGTGTGTGTGTGTGTGT